CCGGATGGCAGCTGGCAGCTGGAGAGAGGCATGGAGGCCTCTTTGGAGATATGCTCGATGCCGTGGTGCAGGAACACAGTCTGCAAGGCTATAAGGGCCTCAAAGAAGGACTGGCTGCGACAGTAGCCGCCAAGAATGGCACGCTCACAAAGGATGGCTACACGCCAAACCAACGAGTGTTTGGGTATGAGACCCGGTGGCCATCCTTGAACGATGAGGACCCCAAGATGTCCTTTGCAGAGGGCGTCTCTGTAGACAGTGAGGTGTCCCGAGCGCATAAGATGCGGACAACTGCACGTATTGCCCTCTTGAGGAATGATGTACGAGAGAAGGTGCGCAGAGCCGTTTTGCGGAAGCCGGCTGTTTCCCACTCTGGACCTTTCATTCCTGGTGCACAAGTCTATTTTTGGACACCTAGCACACAAAAGGGGGTGCGCTACAAGAAGGGTGGTGCATGGCGCGGCCCAGCCACTGTCCTCATCCGGGAGAAGCCCAAGAAGTATTTTGTCTCTTGGCGTGGACGGCTTTTGTTGCTGGCAGAAGAGAACATGAGGCTAGCAACGAGAGAAGAGCTGGCACTGACGGAGCCCGTTCGTGAAGAGATGGATGGTGTTGGTTACAGGCTCAGAGATGGGGGCCGACAGAACATGTACAAGGAACTACGACCACAGCCTCCTCCACCACGCAAGAGACCCAGACGGGCGGCAGTAGATGTATCGACAAGACCGCCTGAGCCAGAAGAGAGCAAGCGAGCACGCTTGATGATGAGAGGCTCAAGGACGGTGAGGAACCTTTTGAAGGATCAGGTTCAGCGAGCCGCCCAGATGCTTCGGAGGAGGAGAGCGTTGGCAGATGCTCGCATGCACCCGAAGCGAAGAAGGGCATTACCAAGTCCACCTGCTGGTGGCGATCAGATGCCCCTGGCGGCGCCAGAACAAGTACGCCCGGCTGCGCCGTTGGCTTTGCCACCTCCTGCACGGGAGGTGAGACCAGAGGATGTCCCTGTGCCAGTGGATGAATTTGATGATGAGCCCAATCGAGAAGAAGCAGTGGCACCAAGGGGCGAGGATTTTCAGCAGCTGCTAAGACAGCAAACCACGGAGGAGAGGCAGCGCCATCTCCTGGATGATCTACCAATTTCCATTCGGAAGCGGCTGCATGAAGATGATGATGATACGGGGGTTGCACCACCGAACAAGAGAGCCAGAGTGTCTCAAGACCTGGTGACTCAGGTGATGCTGAGCACGCTGGTCACCGAAGAAGAAGAGAAGGCAAATGAGTGGGTTTCCCGCTATGAGCTCTCGCTGCTGCGGGAACTCACGGGGCTCCCCATCACGGCAGCCCGGTTGCACCGGCAGCCCCGCAAGCGGCTAGCGCGGCCGCCTAAGATGGCCAGCAGAGCGCGGCTCAGCATTTTGCTGGGGAAGGATCCGCGAAATGCTTTTGTGGTTGAAGAAAACACCGAAGAGGTGCGGCAGCACCCACGTCGCAAGGCGGGGTTCCCCTGGAAGGGGATCACAATGTACTACAATTAGCCCCGAAGAAGAAGGGGGGAGAGAAAGTCCGAAGCTATGTGGAGAAAGATGGGGAGATCTATGAGGTGTGCTGGAGTTCACGCCAACGGAAGCTTTTCGAACGAGAATGGCTGGCTGAGATGAAGGATGTGTTGATGAGCGAGGTGATGTTGCTTCGCATGAAAGCCAGTGGAAAAGAGCTGGACCCGAGATTCTTCAGCGAGGAGGAACGGTCCAAGTTCGCAGAGGCGGACAAGAAAGAGGATACAGAATGGAGTGATCAAAAGACTGAGCCCCGACGAGCAGAGAAAAGTGCCTCGAGAGGCGGTGTTCAAAAGCCCCATGCGGATGGTGCGGTGAACAAGCAGCAGAAGATGTTGCTTCCTCTTCTGGCCAAAAGCAGGCTGGTGATCCCGGGTCATCGGGACCCGCGTCTGGGCCTTTTCCGGACGGACGCGCCCACGACCAGCCTGGTCTCTGTGAGGATGGCGAAGGCCATCAGTCAATTCAGGTCATGGATCTGCTGGAGCTTCGATGTCACGACGGCATTTTTGTCGGGCCTGGAGACAGATCGTCAGATCTACGTGAAGGCTCCAGCTGAGGGCTTGCCAGCCGCGGAGGGCTGGAGTGCCATCTTGCCCTTTGAGCTTCTGCGCATCCTCAAGAGCGCATATGGCCTAACGGAAGCTCCGAGGCTTTGGTACCTTCGAACGGTGCAACTGATTAGCCAGACGCCGCTGAAAGAGCTCCCGATTGCCAAGGCCACATTTGCGGCCAGTGAAGGCGGCATCAGCTGGGCGATCCTGTGCCTCCACGTCGACGATGGACTCCTTTTGGGAGATCCAAATGACAGTCGATTTGTCAAGTTGAAGGCACAGCTGAACAAGCTCTTCAAGATCAAGGAGTGGAAGGAGACTCCCTTGACCTTTTTGGGAGTAGATCTGGAGAAGGCTGAGAAAGGGGGCCTCTGCGACAACATGGGAGCCTACATTCGGAACATCAAGGTCCCTGAGATGCAGAAGAAGAAGCCGGAACCTTTGGACACGCAGGGCGTGACACAATACCGCCAATTGACTATGCGACTTCGATGGCCGGCTCAGTTGGCAACGCCTCACAAGCTGTATGAGATCAGCTCCTTGGCTCAGAGAGTCAACCAGGCCACCTACAAGGACTTTCAGGAAGCTGTGAAGCTACACCAGAACTTCCTGGAAGAAGAGAAAGCTGGCAGAGCCAAGCTGCGCTATCCCATTAATCGTGGGAGGCCGTATGTTTTGAGCTTCTTCGACGCCTCCTTGGGAAAGGAGACCGATGGTCGGTCCCAGCTGGGATCGATACACTTCCTCACGACAGATGGAGTGACCACAGCTGGCAGCCCCGCTGGAATTCCACACCTCCCGAAGCACCAGGGTGGTGAGAAGCTCAATGGCGGCAGAGAGCAACAGCATGTCCCTGGCAGTGGACAAGCACCTCTATTTGAGGGCGCTACTGGACATGTTGTGGTTCGGTGATACCACCTCACTCTCAGCGGACTGGAGGTCCAAGCTTCGCCATGAAGGCGGCCTGGTCACAGACGCCAAGAGTCTTTACGACCATGTCCACACGACAGGCCACGTACCAAGTGAGAGGCAGACTATGCTTGACCTCCTCGTGGCCAAGGACATGTTGGAACAAAAGGCATACCAACTGTTCTGGGTTCCGACCCATCAGCAGCAGGCAGATGTGCTCACGAAGCGCATGAAAGGGATGCTTTGGGAGAGCTTCTGCCAGAACCATCGCCTGTCACTAAAGCAGACTGACGCAGAAAGGCGATTGGAGGAGCATAGGCAGCGCCTTCGCAAAGACCAACGGCAGCGCCGGAAGGTCAAGTTTGGCCGAGCCAAAGCTGGCAGCGCCGGCCGTTAATTCGACCACATGTCAACACCCTTTTCTAGGGATGTGAGAAATGGTGGTCGGTGCACGTTTTTGCCATGTGGTGGCTTTGACTTGAGACCGCTGACGCATCCGCAGTCAGCGCTGGCTCGCATGTTAGAAAACATTTGCTTCGGCCGCGACCGCTTGCTTTGGTAGCTTTGTTTTTACTTCGCACTCCGCAATTATATATTTGTAAATACCAACAGCTAAACTGATTGAGAAATACGCTAGATATACTATGATATTACGTCGTCCACATACAACATAGCATAGTTTTTTACGACCTGTAAAAATGTTTCAAGTGAGGTTTTGAAACTGGAAAGCAGAAAAACATGAATATGAAGTAGGTGAATTCTTAGTATGCAGGGAGAAAACCAAATCACAAACATGCGTGTTCAATGTAAATGTCAAACACATTTTTCGTATTGATAATGACATTATTACCCTGAAGAATGTGAAGGCAAATATGGTTCAATGACAAGAGACTGACAACGAAAAACTAGTTTCATTCTTGCTTGGTGTTCAACTTGCCGTTCTGCTTAAGGTGGTCGCATCATATTGCAATACTTGATTCTAGCAATTGTCTTGTAAAACATTATCCTGAATGGAATTGGACAGCCTTTTTGTATAAGGCAAGGCTTTATTTATGAGGTACAAAAAAGGTACCAATGATGATTTTAATACAAAGTGCATTATAAGCTATTTTGATGGAACAACTACAAAATGCAGGATACAACAGCCAAAAGAAAAGTACCAAAAGAAGGATATGTGAGTGTTCAGTGGCTCTTGGATAATATCAACAATTATTGCAATTATTGTGGGTGTGGATTTCATAGGTATAAAAGGCTGAAATGTTATGAATAATTCAACTTGTCAGAGAGTTTCAAACCTTGAGTCTCACTCACTGGACAATATAGTGCCTTGTTGTTGTAGATGTAATTGTAGTTGTAAACAATTCTGTGCATGGATGTGGTTCAGCTTTGTCAACTGCATGGACCCAGATTCTTTACACAGCGCTTCGAAGGCAAACGACATTGGTGCAAGGATGAGTTGACGCGCTACGGCTGCTGCATCAGAAGACAATGTTTATAAACATTTGTTGTGTTAATAAACGGTGTTTATAAACTACTTCTCAAACAAAAAGCACTGTTTTCCCAACTAGTCCTAACATATGTGAGGCTCAAACCAAAAATAACAAACAAAAAAAAACAATGTTGTCCAAACTACCCCAAACCTTTGTAGGATGAACATAGTGTCCAACTCGTTGTTTTTTGGTGTTTCTTGTTTGTTTTGGTTTTCTGGCTTCAGGATTGGGCATAGTTTCCAGATCATTGTCTTTTTGTTTTGGTTTTCTGGCTGTATGTTGCAAACAACTGGTTTTCAGTCCGTGTGTTAGTATGTTAATGGTACTCCCAGGGGGGGCCCTGATCAGCGAGCACCCATATGTGTATATATACAGTATATTAGTGTGTTTATATTTAAAATTTAACTTAAACCACTATATATACAAGCCACGCAAAGTCTTGAATAGTTTTGAGAGTACCTGACCTCCAGACTAATTACAGCTCTCCTTTTGCTGCAACGCTAGGACTGTTGGCTCTAGCCAATAATTTTTCTGGTCTCGGTGAAACTGTGGAGTCAAATCATTCGCGTCAAATTGGCCGGATGCCAGGTGACATTCCGCTTTGGATAGATTGGGTGAAAGCAAGTTCTTCAGGGTTCTCTGAGGCTTTGAATCAGTGCCTCAATCACATGGCGTTGCTTCAAGTGATCACGAGGAAGCATACGCAGGAGCATTGTAAGCAAAGATCGTAAAGTCACTGCGCGCAAAGCACTTTTCAGAGACCGCTCTCCTCGTGCAAGTTGCTTTTGGCTTCCCTGGCTTCCAACAGAAGTGGTACTCATGGCTTCCAGCGCACCTGAACTTGTAAGACTTTCTAGCTCTACAAGCAGTTGCAAGCTCGATGGGTTGTGCTTCTTCAACTTTTCAAATAAAATCGGGAGGATTGTGGCGACCTGTTCATCACTTGATAGACTTCGCAAGAGCTCACGGTTCCGCTTGTCCAAATGGGTAGGCCGTCGAGTGTGCGGCAGGTGGCAAAAATCACAGTTCTGTCTGCTTTGGCACTCACCTGCTGCAAAGAACAAGCACGGTCTCGTGCACATTTCAGGATGTCCAAAGCCTTGGCACAGTACTAGTATGGCACAGTGCACATTCTGGGAAAGCTGAAATGTGATTGAACATCTGAAAAGTGCTTTGCAAAAAGCTAAGTCCGAAACTGCCTGGATTCATGTCCATTCGCATCGTCTGATCAGCTCTGCTATGTTCAATCTCGTCCATTTTATCACCATCATCTTGCGATGCAAGGTGCGTCTGGATGCATAGCTTCCTGCTGCCTATCTCGTGTGGCACGTCTGGCACCACTGCCGCATCTTCCGCGTCTTCTGCGACCTCCGGAGCCTCCGGAGCCTCCGTAACGTCCGAAGGCATTCCATCAGACTTGGCTCTCAACAGGGCATCCATGATCCAATGATTCGGAACAAATTCACTTTTCAAATCTGCAACGGCATCGACAATCTTGTCCTCTGCCACTTCACCAGTAGCTGTGATCTTCTTCTCTACAACCACTGGAAGCTGCTCCAGCAGCTTTTGTTGCAACAGCTCCTTCTCACGCACAGCACTCGAGCCTGGGCCAAATCCCAGCGCGGCATCAAGCTGCTGGTGCAATTCCTCTACAGATGCGTTTACAGCACGTGAGATCGCTTCATCGGCAATTTCTCGAACCTTTTGGGGAATCACTTGAATCTCTTGCACAATATCTTCGCCCTCGAAATCTCTAGCACCAAGTTCTGCAGTCACACTGGAAACCGTCTGACGCAAAACAGCAGCTGCGTCCATCAAGTTGGCCTCTACGGATGTGGCAAAGTGCCTGGGAAGCATCTCGAGAGTTTCCAGAGTCTCTGCCACCTGCTCTCCACGAGAGGCCTCACGCAAACGGTCTTGCATTAAAACAACACCCCCGTCCACCTGCATACTCAAATCACTAGCTGTCTGTGAGAGCATGCCCTCTACTTGTTCTGGGATTGAATCTATGCGTAATAGCACGCTGCGAATCGTTCTTTGGCGCCATTTCTTGCGGATTGCTCGCGACAGAGCGAACGCATTAAATTGTAAACCGCTCTGCCGTGCACTGCGTGCACCGCTCGGCGCAATGCCACCAGCATCATGACCGGCAGACCATGACTCTAGCAAGCTGCGGTCCTGCAGCACGCTGTCGCTCGAAGAACGAGACATCTCTACATCGGCTTTGAAGCCTCGACAGATTCCCTGCATATCTGAGAAATCCAGCGTCACCACAGCAGGTGCAGATTGAATCTCCAATCTGTTTTCATCCGTCTCAACTGACAATGCAGATCGACCATGGATGCCAACAAGAGCACTTTCGGACTTCCGGGAAGAAATGATTCGGAAGGATCTCATTTCATTTCAGGACGGAATGACACTGTAAAACGGCGGCAGCAAGACAAAAAGGTTTGATGACGGTACAATTGGTGCAGTACTCCTTCACTCAGAAGCATGCTTGGTCTGTCCATCTTCTTCAACATTATTCAACCAAGTTCTGAGAGCCAGCTTACTTCGCAAAGTCTCAGCGACAGGATGGCTCTATGATGCCTCGCACTTATGAACTCTCCAACTTGAGTTTCTTGAGTTTGGAGGTTGCACTTCTCCACAGGCTGCTCACTGCTGGCCTCAAGCTTAACCTGTTTATGGTGGCGTTCCACAGCCTTAGCGGTCAACAAACCCTTGACGAGGAATCAACTATATACTTCTTACTTGTCTGGCAAAGGCAGCAAAGGTGCATCGATGACTTCTTGGACGTGGCCATGATATAGCGCGGTCGTTTGCCTTGAATGATGTTAGCAAGAATGTGAAAAGCATTCGGTTTACATATGTTGTTTCTATTGGCAAATTTGCATACAGTACATTTGCAATGTATCTTGCGGGTTGCAAAGCGCCATCCAGCACCCCAGCGTGTGCCTGAGGATTCATGGACGAACAGAATCACAAGACATGATTGGCAACACTTGCCTGCAACAGGGCCACGCGCTCCCATTCTTCAACGGTCTCATCCCGCAGGACAGCAAGTGCCACTGGTGGGTCACCTTCAGAGATTGAATTTTTGAGAGGCCAAAACATAGAAACCTACTCTCACATCATCTCATCAGTCGGCCTTGTTCGGCTTGATAAGAGCGTCCCTGTCTGTAACCCTCTTGGATTGGTCGAAAGCTCGGACCATACCTCAGAACAACACAGAGAGCGACACCTAGGACTAGTGAGACACCCACGCGAGATCAAACACTCAAAAAAGCCGACCAAAGCCGAGCACTGAACCCCATGGAACCAACGCGGAAGAACAAGTATATGCCTGGACAAAGATCAGCTCCTTATGTCTCACACTCTATGTCTAAGACGTGCACGTCCATGGATTCAAACGTTTGCGTTTGCACTTCGGTAGCAGGGGCTCAGCGTGGCATGGCCGCTGTAAGGCACTGTAAGGCTGTACATAACCTTACGCAATATCTATCCTGGACCTCCAGACGCACCTGCAGACGCACAACGAATCTGCAACGAATCTGAAGGATGTTGCAGATTCTGCCACCGACTCGCCACCGAACTTTGGCATGGTGTTGAAATGTGTTTAACGCCACTGCGTTATCTCACACCAGCTCTTCAGGTCCAAGTACGTAGTTAACTTAGTTTGGGATTCTCCCTCAGGAGGCTGGCCACAGCCCATGCTGGTCTTGTCTCGTGTTTCCAGTTGTCCTCCTATGCCTTTAACCTCTAGTGTTATTCCAATGCTTTCTTGTGTTGTTTGGAGGGGCCCAAGGGAGCTGAGGATATGAAGCTATATATCCAGCGTTGCCATCCACATTGACACAAACAAGAAATCGGGTAAATCTTGTTGATGCCAACTGTGTAGGGGTCCATGCTGATGTAATCTTGAATTGCGTCATTGGTCACAATTTCAGCAAGAGTGCGTGGGTGTGGGTGTGTGGGTGTGTGCGCATGCATGAGCAAAGCGTTTTGTATGACTGTATGGGAATCTGCTTGAATGTTCGGCAGAATGCGACATACAGGATCACAAAGAATTCATGGCCTTTGTTGCACGGGCTCAAAGGTGCGTGCAACACCACAGTCACGAAGAAAACAAAGCAATTAATCTATGAGGGCATGAACCTCTGGAATATGTGGCTGGGCATGTACACATATTTCCAGCCATGGCGACGTCTTCGAAAGGCGGTGTGTTACATCAATATAGACCTACGAGCAACGAAACCTTCAACCATGCCTCCGCCAGCGAAACCTCAGAAAGCAACTGGCTAAGAGAAGCCCAAGAACAACAAACTTCTAGAACACTACCAAATCTTGCATGCGGCAATTGTTTTCATCACAAGATTCCTGACATCTTGATTAAGCCCGGATATACCTGGTCTTAAATGATTTCAACTCTCCCTCGTGTCGCACTACAGCATGCCAATGTCGACAAAACCAGTTCGCCAGTTCAATGTGTTCTGCAACTTCAGAGCATGCCCATTCGAGTGAACACTCTCATTCCCGTGATCAGCGGCAAGCGGACATATTTTACTAGTCCTGCACAAGGCATGGGGTGAGAGGACTAGACAAAACAGATCAAACGAAGACAGAAAATGAGCAGACTCAAGAGGGGACATGATCAATGGACAGAATGTGAACTGTCAGCTCTTCGCGAGCGATCCTTCGCGGATCCATTGACATCCTAACCTCAAGA